AATGGCTCAGAGGGTGAAAAAACGCATCTGTTTGAGCATTGCCCCTGTCTTGTCCTTAATTAAACTGTAAAACATGGCTGACCTCTACAAAAGACTTCCATCCATCAAGAGAAGCAAAATAATGCAACAATGGCCAAAATGTATAAAACACCACTAATAAGAGAACTTTGGAAATCCCAAGCTTTAAACTTTTGAAAAAACTTCAGTAAATGCTATTAATTAGTTAATGTTAATTGCTGTTAATGTTTATTCCTGATGCACATATAGTAATGGCTCTAGCAGGATTTCAAAAATATAAACCAATGTTGTAATTATGACACTATAATTATAATTAGTTTGGTGCTCAAAAATGTCAACATTGTGTAGCATGAATACAGTTGTTGTGGCTGTTTAAAATCATTATATTGCAATGTACACTCACCGGTCACTTTATTAGGTACACCTGTTCAACTGCTCGTTAACACAAATTTCTAACATGCAAACAACTCAATGCATTTAGGCATGTAGACATGGTCAACATGATCTGCTGCAAAAAATAGAATAGGTGGTCACAATTTATTTTGATGGTCCGTTTGTTGAATTTAAGTAACATTGCATCTACATGCCAAATAATTCTCATTAGATTATATTATTAGGTAGACTGCTAGGTTGGGGTTATGGTTAGTGTAAGTTAACATGTACTTAGAAAGTTTCTTATAGCCAGTTAAATGTATGTTTAGCAGCAGTATCAACAGATATTAAGCAGACAGTCTTCTAATACTCAAGTGGACCAATTAAGATAAAGTGTTACCAAATGGGCCCATTAGTACCAATTAAGCATTGTGTCAACACAACAGCGTACCCAAGTAATGTTGCTGACCATGTCTATTCCTTTTATGACCACAATGCACCCATCTTTTAATGGCTACCTGCAGCAAGAAAAACGAGCCATGTCATAGAGCGTGAACCATCTCAGACTTGATTCTTGAACATGACAATGAGTTCAGTGTACTCAAATGGCCTCCACAGTCACCAGACCTCAATCTAATAAAGCACCTTTGGGATGTGGTGGAAAGGGAGATTCAAATCTTGGATGTGCAGCTGACAAATCTGCAGCAACTGCATGATGCTATTATTTCAATATGGATCAAAACCTCTGAGAAATATTTCCAGTACCTTGTTGAATCTATGCCACAAAGGATTAAGGCACTTCTGAAGGCAAAAGAGGGAGCAACCCGATACTAGTAGGGTGTACCTAATAAAGTGGCCGGTAAGTGTATATGCTATTACTAGTTACTATTATTAGTTTCTATCTCACAATTCAGAATAGTGTTCACAATTAGATTATAAAACATAGTCGGCCAAACTAACTGAGTATGACTAATAAGTGAATTTTTTAAGTCTCAAATTTAAAAATGTTTCAGCTGATACTGAAAATCCGGCTAATTGATTTTTTCCCTGATGCTCATAATGGCTCTAGCAGAATATTAAAAAAACTTGTAAACCAAACAAAATGAATCCCCAAGAATAATGCGTTTCTTTTGTTGCTATTATTCTTCACATGCAGGGGATTCTCCTGGAGCATAATTAATATAAAAATGGTTAATTACCCAAATGTTCAAAGCATTGTTCCTGAAGGCCACATCTGACTGGAGGTCATACAGTTGCTTAATATTTCAGTGGTGTGTGTGTGCAGTTAATCTGTGTGCAGTGTCATGAGTTTCTATCATACTGAGCGGCTTTCTGTCTTCAAGCTCACCCAAAGGGATGTTTGTGTTACTTGCTAAATGCTTTATTAATTGTACTGTCAGAACAACACATTAGAACATGCTTCTCAGTCTGAAATAAAACTGCATTATTGTTTTCTCTTGTTCATTTTGTGGTACATATAGATGTTTCTAATGTAGCATGACAGATTTATGCTAAATGATTTCTGAAATACATCTGCGCCAAGCAGATTTATTGTATCATTAATAAATTACATGCTGGGTTAAAATATTGTAACTATAACCCATATAGTACTGCAGTATGATTTCTTTTTTACTTTAAGAGCCACCTTTATTTTACAGATTTTCATCTCTCAGTTGTGACTGACTTTCTTGCAATTGAGAGTTTACATTTTAAAAGGGACCTATTATGCAAAAATAATCTTTTTTAGGGTTAAACACTGAGGTAAATATAGTCAGCGTCTACTAGTTCAAATGAGTTAATTCTATTTTTTATAATTACACTTGGTATAAACAGTGTGCAGAAACACTGATTAAGATTCTCCATTTTACGTGTCATCAGAGGGGGAAAGCCCCACCCCTTAATAACAACAGCTCACTCATTAGCATAAACTAGCTCACTCATTAGCATAAACTTATTTTACATCTTGTAAAAGGGAGCAGAATAGGTCCCCTTTAAGGGATAGTTGACGCAAAAATTTAAATGTACTTACTATTTATTCTCACTTAAGGGGTTTCAAACCTGTTGGAGTTTACTTTTTCACTTTATTTTGATAATCCTTTTGTTGAATTTAAGTTACATTGCATCTACATGCTAATTAATTCTCATTGGATAATAAGTAGACTGGTAGGTTAGGATTAGGGTTGGGGTTAGTGTAAGTTGACATGTACTTACAAAGTTTCTTATAGTCAGTTAAATGTCTGTTGAAGAAGCAGTATCAACAGATACTAAGCAGTCTTCTAATACTCAAATGGACCATCAAAATAACGTGTTGCCCCTTTTTCTCTTGAAAATAAAATCAGTCATTTTGAAAAATGTTTCCAGAAACCATTGACATCCATAAATACTATGAAACAAATACTATGGAAGTCAATTGTTACAGGTTTTTAAACATTTAAAAAATGCTGTGTACAGTGGAAAACAGAAACTTAATCAGTCTTGTGACAAGTGATGGGTGAGTATATGATGACAGAATTGTCAGTTTTAGATGAACTATTATATTAGCAATTCTGACTTATGATAAAAAAGGTGAATATTAAAATATATAACCTCAGGATTGTGAGAAAATAAGTCAGAATTGCAAAAAAAAAAAATAAACAATGACAGGAAATAAAGATTAAATGACATTTAACCCACAATTCTTACTTTTTTCTTGCACATTCCTTGTTTATTCATTCATTCATTTTCTTGTTGGCTTAGTCCCTTTATTAATACAGGGTCGCCACAGCGGAATGAACCACCAACTTATCCAGCATGTTTTCTGCAGCAGATGCCCTTCCAGCCGCAACCCATCTCTGGGAAACATCCACACACACACTCATACACGACAATTTAGCCTACCCAATTCATCTTTACCGCATGTCTTTGGACTGTGGGGGAAACCGGAGCACCCGGAAGAAACCCACGTGAACGCAGGGAGAACACAGAAACGTCAACTGAGCCGAGATTAGAACCAGCAACCCAGCAACCTTTTTGCTGTGAGGCGACAGCACTCCCTACTGCGCCGCCAATTCCTTGTTTAAAGTTCTATAATATGATGCAATTGTACCAATAATTGTGAGATCTGAGAACTGCTAGGACAAAAGTCAGAAAACAATTTGAAAAGGGTAAACAAACAAACTTGAATTACAAAGTGCAAAAAAAACAAAAACAAACAAACTGTAAATTAACTGATATTTGAATGACTTTAGAAGACGGAATATAAAACAAACTATAATACACTGACTTTTCTGTATGCTGACATCTGCGTGTTATGGGTTTATAATTTGTTGAAAAGTGGCAGGTTTAAGCTAGGGGTTAAAAATATTTATGAAAGTATAAACATATACAGTACATTATTTTTACTTTTGCAAATGCATGAACAACTGAACATAATAAAGCACGGTGGCAATCGGTTGTTGAAAAGCAACACTGAAAGGTCCTAATCCAGCATTAAAATGTGACAAGCTGGGAGTTAAAACTCATGGTTGAGTGGACTTCCGTAATATAAAAAGATGCAGATGTGTCAAAACAAGTAGTTTTTATAAACCCCGAAAAAGCCAATGTACAGCTGAGCTATTTAAATGCATCTTTATTTTTGTGGTAAAGTGTAGAGCAGTTATAGCTTACCCAGTCTGATTCAATTCACCACATCTCAGCTCACAGAGCGACTGGTACCTGTTAGAAGGATAAATCATAATTAAGATCCAGATTTTGAGGCACTGTTAGTACAATACACAAAATGAAGAAGAGACGATGAGTGAGACTACAAGTCCAAACAAACGCACACTCGCATGCACGGTTAAGAGATGGATTGAAAACAGTTTGACAAAGCATATGTTACTATCAAAAAAGTAAACCAATTTGTGGGGCTGGACAAAAGCTGTCAGAGCAGAATATGATTTAGAGCAACCATCTTTTTTTTTTTTTTATCAGCGTGTCTGGTTAAAAAGCTTAGTTTAGCTGGTCAGGTATTAAAGATCAGTTTTAGCTTCTTTTAAAAGATGGATTGTTAATTGTTTTTCTTATATGTTTTAATTTTGATTTCACTAGTTAACTTTATTAGCGGATTTAGAGGGCCGAGGCATTTATTTGGGGGTTAGTGAGAGAAGGTTTACTTTTTGAAGTATAAATAACTTAATTTATGATTGGCATTCGCAACATTAGAGTTATTATTAGGGTTACCTGCTTAATGTTTAGTCATCCTTTCGAAGTCTTAATACGCGTCAGCATTCAGCTCTATTAGTCACAAAAAAGAGTTGAGGTCTCTATGGGGCCGTGATATTTAAAAGCATTGGTATTACAACACAAATGCAGCCTTCTGATGTACACTAACATAAATAGCAGAAGAAAAGCAAAGATAAAGCAGTTTAACTGGATCCCATTCACTCGTGCGAGTGATGAAACATCAGCGTGAATATCAGTCATATTCACATTGTCTACAGTGGTTAACACCAAAGGCTGAAGGCACTTAGAACAGCTTATTGAATATGGGGACGTTCTTACCTCCTGAATCTCCATATCATTCTCAGAGTCACGTTAGCGCAGACAAGTCAGTCCGACTTATTGTTTAATAAGCTGAAGCTTAAAGAGTGTGTTAAAAAAGATTCAATTTATTGATCTAAACAGTTGATTTCCATTAACATGTTAAACATTTAAAAGACTAGAGTCAATAAACAATTTAGAGCTAATGTTAAAAAATTAGTTAACAAAGTTTAAATCTATTAATGCAGCTTATCTATTATTACACAAAATGACTTGACAACGTCTCTACGGTTCCTTTTTGTGGCTTTTCATTGTTAAATAGATATATATATAAAAACAAAAGATTCATTTCCAGATCAAACAGGCATTTAGTACTAGATACAAATACGTTTCTGGTCTAAGTTTACAAAAAACAAACAAAAAAAAAGATCATATCTTTATTAACAAATTATGGCAACACAAGTTTAACAATTCTAATCACCTATTTAGAGAAGCTTGCACAAGGCGCTTTACATCCCTTTTTTTATTACATTTTTTATGTACAAATACAAGCTACACACAAAGCAAAGCACTTGGATGTGGCTACATACATAGCCAATTGCTTTCAAACCCAATACTGATATCAAAATTAAATATACAAACTCAGTATTTACCATCATCAAATTAAGAAGTTTTAAGAAAGATGTTATATGTACAAAATGAGTCTCTGCACATTTCGCCTTAACAAAGGTTTCCCAGCGGCATATTGTGTAGCTAATTCCATGCTTTACATTTGGGGGACAAACAATGAAAAACTAAAAGAAGGAGCATTCAATGACAAAAGTAGTACACTGTCAAATCCTGGCCAGAATGTATTTTACAAAGTCAACAGTTTCAGATAAGAAAAGAAGGGACATTTTTTTAGGGTGAGTTTAAAAACATGTTTAATCTATCACTTAAAAATCCCTTTTTTTTTTTAAAGATTATTTAGTAAATACGGTTGCCGTTGTATGAAGGTCACATGATCTGGAGCACCTTTAATATCTACCATAGGGGTGATCTCTGTATCCCCCTCGAGTAAGTCTTGATGCTGGAGCTTTGAGGTTTGGTCGAGATGAAATCCAGTCCTCTTCTGCTTAAAAAAGATGATGGGATTGAACAGAGAGAAAGAGAGAAACAAAAGAAAACTATTTCATAATCAGGTAAAACATCTGAATCATTTAAAAAGAAAAATGGAGTTTCATATGGAGATGTTACAAAGGAGCAATGCAATGACACTTTATCAGTAAATGGATATCCTGAAGCAATGTAATTCAATGTGACATTAGCTACTTTTAATGCTTTTTCATCCTTCTAAGCATTACAAAATGATAAACCGAGCAGAAGATGATCATCTTCCACATGCATTTCAATAATTCGTTTAGAGATCCATTCTCAAATCCCATCTAGTGCTTTGCATGTTCGCCTCGGTCCATTATCATAGATTTGAGAAATATACAATGTCACTTTGCCCTAATTATCAGTTACCAAAGGCAGAGCAGATGAGGCATGAACTCCTGGCTGAGCTCACAGTATGACCCTGCTGTCATTTAAATACAGTATGTGTTGGGAGCCGATGCTCCATTAGGTTCTCTGAGTGTGATCGCTGGGCCATTGAGGAAACAATCAGCCCGCCTTCAGGGCAAAGAACCTTAACCTTCATTGTTGCTAACTACTGTTTCACAGAGAAAGGAGGAAAAACCATTATACATCATGGCGAAATCCCTTATATTCCTGCATTCTGTGTAACGATCACTACCACACAAACGGCCCTCCCTTATTCACATTACATTTAATAGGTTTTTTCTCTTACATCCTCCTCACTGTGAAAAACTGTCTCTGACCTTGGCGATGCTTTACAGTGTGGAAGCCCATTTCAGCCTCTGAATACAAAACACATCAGGTAATTGGAAGATAAAGTTTAAAATTAGACAAAAATACAACTGCAAGAAACATAAAATAAAAAGTCATATTACACCTAACAGTCATTGGAAGGGAGAAAACTGAACCTAGAAATAAAAATAATAATTTGATAAAATGTTAGAACAAATAAAGACGCAAGTCAACCCCATTTTGATTATGCTACCTCATTTTGGTAGCTGCTCAGAGAGCATGAAGAAAAAATTGTGAAAGGCACAAAATATATTAGTACGAATAATAAAAAAAAAAATCATCCTAGAGCACATTTGCACAGAGTTTTTTTAGGCATTAGAATTAGGCATGGTAACTGTTAGTAAAAGAGTATGTTTTTTTAAAATTCGGAATGATATATAAAATTTTTAATAATGTGGTACCTAGTTATTTGGTGAACTATTTTCAAATGGTGAGGCACCAGCATATAGTACTAGGGCTTGGGATTTTAATATTTGTTTATTTAAATTTAGTTTAGTGTAGTGGGGAAAATATGTTTTATATACAAGTGCAATCATGTGGAACAAATAACCAAAACTGATCAAGGAAATAAAAGATTTAAGGACATTCCAAAAAGCGATCAAAAGATGGTTGTTTGATGAGGATAGTTTGCATCGTGGATGATGATTTTTTTTTATATGTTATTGTATAGACCATTTTGATGGACATAAACAATAACAATGGTACTAACATATTTCCTATTTCACGTTTTCATTTCTATATATATTCCAAAAATCTAAAAAGGTCTACATATTGACAAATAATGTTATGATAGTTGTTTTAACATCGGGTTATGATAAAATTCCCTTTTTTAACAGTTACTAAGTAGTTTGACAACAAGCAGGAAATGTTCATGAGCCAGTGACATCACCACATTGAAATGGTCTATTAAGAATAATGTTGTTACTGTTTTAAACTAACCGGCAGCTAGCTCTCTGCAACTCTCACATGGTCACCCACTGAAAGTAAGCAGGGCTGCGCCCAGTCAGTACCTGGATGGGAGGCTACATAGGAAAGCTAGGTTGCTGCTGGAAGTGGTGTTAATGAGGCCAGCAGGGGGCACTCAATCTGTGGTCTGTGTGGGTTCTAACGCCCCAGTATATTGATGGGGACCCTATACGGCTCAGTGAGCGCCGTCTTTCATATGTGACGTTAAACCGAGGTCCTGACTCTCTGTGGTTGTTCAAAATCCCAAAATGTCCTTTGAAAAATTTCCATATTTGCCCACTGGTCTCTGACCATCATGGCCTCCTAACCATCCCCATACCATAATTTGCTTCATCACTCTGTTTGCTCTTCACCAATCAGCTGGTGTATTGTGTGCGGTTTGGCGCAATATTGCTGCCGTTGCGTCCTCCATGGTTGCTGCACACTGGAAGTGGATGAGGAGATTCCTCCTATTTTGTAAAGCACATTGAGTGTCTAGAAAAACTTTATATAAATGTAAGGAATTATTATTATTATTATAAAACGTAGAGGTATAGTTTGATTTATGAGCTAACTGTATTTTGCAGCCATACTTTGTTTTTGTAACATCAAGAACCACAATGGAAATATGGAAATAAGCCCAGGACTTTTTGTGTTTTTATTCTCTATGATTTTATTTCAAAATGTATGGGATACTTGTATTTTTGTACAGTTTGTCTAAAAACTGTCAAATAAATTAAATTCAATTTAGTCACATCTCCAAAATACAGTTAAACTGCAAAAAAGTAAAAAAATAAAATAAAATAATAATAAAACAAAACATTGTGATGGTCAGAAATAAACTCCTATCGCAATAAATTATTATCAGATTATTATGAGAAATTCACCATTACAAGAAATAAAGATTTAAGTGTGAGCCATAGTAACAAATGCTGGAAACAAAGTTGCTATTGTAGGCTATAAACAAATTGCTAGACAAAACGTCACAACTCTGAAAGTAAAGGAAGTCACATGTTGTGGAAGATGTCTAATATGATAACATACTGATAAATGAGTAATGGTGTGAGTGTAGAGAGCTGTGAGTTTTAGTCAAACTGCAAGAGCAGTAGTAAATACAACAGTTGTAAATATAGTCAAGCTTATTAGATTTAGTCAGAATTACAAAAAAATAGAGACACAATTGTGAAAAGAAATAAAGTTGCAACAGTAAGATGTTTTAAAAATGCTAAAGTTATATCCATACAGTAGTCAACATCTGAAGTGAATCAACATTTGGATCAAATTCTTTCATTAAAGTTGTACTAAAACTACAACAGCCATTCTTAAGACAAACTTTTTTTGTTCCACTTCAAATGTTGATTACTGCAGTAACATTGTAAAACATCCCAGTTGTTACAATTATTTATTTCAGTCACTTTGCAAGAAAAAAAGTCAGTCATAAGAAATAGTCAGATTGTGGCCTCAATTGCAAGATAACCTCACCAGTAAAATAAATAGTCTGATTGCGACAAATAAAGTCAAATTTAACAATATAAAGGCACAAGTGTGAAATGTACTGACCTGAAATCTACGGTAATGTATTTCAATGAGAAATGAAGTGCCAATTATAGAGAGCAAATTAGGATGTGTTTATAGTGCTTTATTCATTACAGACTGTTTTAAAGCAATGTAATAAACACATCATTTATACAAAACACATTAATAAACAGTAAAAAGTAACATTGTTAATGTAGTGGAATTCATTAATTATGAAGCTAATTACATTTCAGCTGTAAAGCAGCTAGATTAGATCAGCAGTGAGTGGTTTCATTATTCAGCTCAAGTCAGCTCAATGCTGAAAGTTACTGTTCCTGTTGCAAAGACACTGTCATTGTTCAGCTCAATTCAGCTCTAAATTTGCGCTCACCACAGTGCACTTAAATCAATATACCGATTATTAATTGTCTTTTAAAGCCAGACAAAGTCACAAAGTTGCACCTGCGAGACTCAAAGACATACTGTGCAACATAAAATCACAAAGGCAAGACATAAAGTCACTATTGTGAGAGTTGCAATTACCTTTCCCCCCACTCTCAGATGGAAATAGGCTTCCATAACTGCCTACCAAGAAAAACCTTTTCTTGTAACACAATAAACTCTTGATTTTTAAGCCAGAAAGTGGCAAAATATCAAATCATTCCTGTTAACAGCAACACTCCACTGCACATTTTGCCACAATGCAAAATGAAGGAGCAAGCACATATACAATGGGAAGCGGGCATCGTTGAAAACATCAGTCCATGCCAAGAACACAGGGAATCCTGCATCAAATGCAACCCAGAGAGGGCACATATTCAAATGGAAAAATAATGGCTGAAAGGCCATTCCAACTCTCTTGGTGGGCCTCAGCAACGCCTCCAGCTCTCTACTGGCTCTAGTCCATGATTTCAAGCACATCTTAAAACCCAGCCCTGGAGCAGACTAGTAAGGTAAGATGGCAGCTGCTGTGCCCTGGGCCTTGGTGATTTAACAACTGGCAAATGCCGCTAGGTGTTTTTCCTTACCTTTAGCTCTGAAACATTTAACAGCAATATGGAAAATGAATGAGGCAAAGAGGTTTCTCACTGGTGTGGGCAATGTGCCATGACTGAGTTTTAGCCCACCTGCTACACAAACTACCGCTATGCAAAGAGGATGTTTCTCTTTGAGGTGCACCATTTTGAACGGCTGACCTAAAACCCTGCATTTTTTTTATCATAAAAAAACTATAAAAATTTTGCTTATTCCAACAGTCATCTTTATTCCTTACCGTAATTGTTGTAGTTTTCGTCATTGTTACCATGTCCATATTCATAATATTCCGAGACACTGAAGGAGAAAAATTTGAACAGATTTGTTAGAGTGCAAATAAGCATTAATTAGCTCACAATAGAGGCCCTTAAAAAATAGATGTGGACCTTTTCGACTGGTTGCTGTAGTTGTCATCATAGCTCTCATAACTCTGGTCATCATATTCCCCGTCATAACCATCATCATATCCCTGAAATCACAGAAACACAAAAGAATGATCACAGAGGGAGACGCTAAAGGACTGAATCTGTCTCAAAGCAGCCCTCTAATTGTTTAGGGTTGAAAAATCAATGTTTAATTACAGCGCAATAGGATTTCTTTAATAAATATACTCCCAGAGTGGAGGACTGGCACAGCTGAATCATGTCCAACAGAAAATATTGATCACGGTGGGACAATTGTCTCATTTGCCATGTCTGAAGACAAGTGGATAATGCTGAGGTCGATTCGGTTTACAGACAAAAGAAACAATAAACAGATTAAAGCTTCATAATAGGATGTTCTGGAGATGATTGGTGTCATCTTTACACCCTTGTATGATTAATACTGAGATGAATTATTATCATTACAATGCACTTTTGGAATGTGCATAAACAGAACTGTATGACTATCAGGCTTTAAAGAAACAGTTCACCCAAACATTTAAATTGCCCCATAGTTTACTTACCCTCAAGCCATCCATGGTGCATGCCTTTATTATTACTCAGAACATAGTCAAAGCAGTTTTAGGATACACTGTAAAAAATCTGCTGCTGGGGTGCTGGAAAAAAATGTAAAATAACAGTCGTTAAATTATAGAGATTTACCCTAATATAACGGACATTAAATTGCAGAAATTACCTTACATTTAAAATTCTGGTAAATTTCAGTAAATCCACCTGTGTTATTTCACAGTAAAATTCTGTAATTTAACAGCCGTTTTTGTACGTTTTTTTTTTTTTTTCGGCACCCCAGCTGCCGAAAATAAACCGTAAAATTACTTTTTTTTTTTTTTTACAGTGTATGTTATGTATTTTCTATGCTCTATAATGGTGTAGTGGGGGCTTTTTTAAGCTTCCAAAAGAACATAAATTCACCCCCCCCCCCCCCCTAAAAAATACATATGCTGTCATGTGGTTAATGCATTTCTTATGATGCAGATGCAAATGATAATAATAATAATAATAATAATAATAATAATAATAATATTAAATGGATAGTTTTCATTTCAAGGTTAAAAATTGATTATGGCCTTTAGTTTTTGTGTCTGAACCAGCAGTGCATAAGGTTTCTCTTTGGAAAACCAAATTTCTGAAAAAAATCTGAAAGGGACACATTGCACACAAAAAGAACACAATGGTGAATCACACTGAAACTTCAAATTTCACAAACAAAACAAACTTGTGTGGCATGAAATTTATATTTCACTTAAAAACTTCAAACCAGTCTGTAGAGAATATATACAGTATCATCATAATGTGAAAATAAAGCTTCACGTGGACCTTAACCCTTTAACTGCCCTACCAAAAAAGAAAAAAATGAATTGCATTTCCTAATGAATTGCAACTCCTAATATTGCTATTTAACACACTCAATGCATTTTTTTCAACACATCCCATAATTTCTAAAATATCTATCTCTACCAAATGGTAGATATGTTGGTTTATGGTAAAAGTACCAGAATTAATAAATATGTTATGAAAAATCAGAAAGTGTAAGGCCAATTTATTTTTTAAAACATAATCAAAATAAAACATTTTTGAATGCTAAATCATCTTTATTTTTTGAAGAATGCTATAAAAAATTCAGAATCTCATTTAATATGCTTTCCAGTTTTTATTTTTTATTTTTATTTTTTACAATAAAATCAAAGTCAAGTGTAGTAGTGCAACAGGATTATGTTTGTTTGATTTCTTTGTAAACTAGCAATGCTGTGTGTGTAAACCATTATTTCAAACAGTCATTCTTTAAATGACTTTAACAGTCATTATTTAAAACAGACAAAATGGTCAACCATTCTGTAGAGCAGGCAGTTACAGGGTTTTAAGGTAACCTTAAGAAATAAGTTTTTTTTTAAGATGCATAAATTGCACTAGAATGAATTTTTTATTTAAACAATAAAAGGCTTTTTTCGATGTTATGATGGAAGCACAAACCAACAATTATCTGAGGCACGGACAGTTAATAAAAATGCAAATGAACCGTTTGGTTACCGATGCAAATTACGGTAATTAAACTAGAATTACTGATGACTTATTTTGTCGGGTCTTTTAGTTGACAAGCACTTTACTTGTTCACACTAATTGTATAGGATAAAACTGGTTACATTGACATACTGGTTTTATGATTTTAACTTCTGTTTAAATTGTTCATTGTGTTTGATATTTTGCTTTTATTATTCACAGCGATGTGTTTATTTTCTATGATAGACTCTTCAAAGTAATAACCTTAGTTGTACCAGATACACAATGGGCTCTATTTTAACGAACTAGGTGCTAACGCGCATGAGGCAAAAGCATTGAGGGCGTATCCGAATCCACTTTTGCTATTTTAAGGATGGAAAAATAGGCTCTGCACCCTGGTGCATGCTCTTACAAGTTTGTGCTTATTCTCTTAATGAGTTGTGGGTGTGTTTTGAGCATAACATGCATTAAACCAATCAGAGTCTCATCTCCCGTTCCCTTCAATATTCAGTTGCGTCATGCCATGGCGCATTTGCTATTTACATGGTGGACTTTGTAAGTGGAAAAACTGAATGCTTCACTTGCAAGAAAACAGTTAAAAAGATCATCTGTACGAGGATAAAGAATGACTCCTCCATTTGTCCTCTTGACTTTCTCTTTCTCTTTAGTTTTACTGTTTACTCATTTACTTCTGTGAATAAGGAAACGGTGTTGTACTCACTTCGCTGAAGACATTCATTAGCCTACATATTTAATTTAGTTTGTTAAGCAAATATTTGTTTCAAAACTATTTCTAAATTCAGTTCTAATTTCCAGCAAACAAATAAATAAATAATAATAACGAAGTGTGGTCAAAACTGAGTTATATCCAAACACACGTCTTGTTCTTATGCCCCATATAGTGACACATTCGTCTTCAAAAACTGACTGGTGGACAAATAATGTGTATTTTTTATTTAAATAAATATAAATATGCATTTAATTAATAAAACCTTTAATATTCTTGCACCTGATTGCTTATTGATAGGGCCCAATATTACAGCAATGACACTGCTATCATATTGTATTGGTTACAGTAATCATCCCTTAGGTAAATTCATATTAGTTCATAAATGCAAACTTATAGGCTTCCATTTTGTGGCTCAGATACTGAACTGAAAATGCTTCGCTTTTTTAACAAGCATATTGTGTCACAAAAAAGGCAAGCTATTTTGACCCCGTCTGTTCACTTGGCATTTAAATTCTGCACAACAGTCTGGTTTTATGAGTATGAAGTAGGATTAGACTGAATTAAAGTTACGGATTATGCTAGGGATTAAGTTGTTCAGGAGATCTAAAACACACGTTTCCATCTATTCGTTTTTCCTCGTTCTAATAGGGTCAGAGTTCTGTCCTCTCACACTAATTGACCAGTTTGTTAACACTGCCTCTTAATAGAGTGCTATGCATATCTAAAGCAGCAGAGCACAGAAGAGGCTGCATGTTTTACTATTTAATGGCAAATTTTAGAATATGTCAATCACACCAAGTCCTCTCTGTGGAAATGTTTTTTTACAGTCAGAGGTAGTAGATGACCTATCAGTTTAATAGGGTCATTTCATCAGAAGTTGAACGAGTAGCTTTCATTTCAACACTCCAAAATAAATGTGTGCTCTTTCAGTCTGCTTTGACATTTAATGAGCGAACAGAATAGTTTATATTGTTGATTATTTAATACAAGTTAACAAATGTTTTAAAGATATTAGTAACTGGAGCAAACTTATCAAACTCATGAAACAAACTCCAAATGAACTTCATTATTGCCTGATTTTGTTTGAATCAACGTTACAGCAGAATATTCTTCGAAGAAGTTAGAAGTCAGATGTATAGATGAAGGCAAAATTATTGACCTTCCTGTAAATGTAATTATTTTTCAAGTATTTCCTACACTGTAAAAAATTCTATGATTAAATAGTCATGACAGCATATGTTTTTTATTATTTTTTATTTTGTTCATTGTAACTTATTAAACTAAGTTAATCATGTTCTAACTTAGGTCAATTTAATATAATATAAGTTGAATGGATTCATTGATGACATCAATGAACAAATTAGCTCAGGTTTATTTGATTCAGCCTAAATGTTTAAAGGCAATTAGGGTTCTTTTTTTACAGTGTAAATGATGTTTAAAAGAGCAATAATGTTTTCACAGTAGTTCTTATTATTTATTTCACATTTTGGTTTAGTTCTTGTAAAACTATTTACATTATTTTTAAAGTTAATATTATAAGCCCCCTATATATTAAATAATAATATTTAATATAACATATATAAAAGTAAATATATATTAATATATAGAGTAAACCCCATACTAATATGAATGTATTATATAATATTAAACACTAAAACCCAACAGTCAACTTTATCAAATCACATGAAGTTAAATCAACATTTACTCAAAGTTAATTCTTCTCATTTGAAAAGAGTTTTGAACTCAGTGTTGAAGGTAATGAGTTAATTAAATACCTCAATACTTCAACTTAAAAAGTTCGCAGTACTCATTTAGATAGTTTTGTTAACTCAACTGGTTTGTTGCAATCAGTTTCCTTAAACGGTTTGAGTTGACTTTGGAAATTATTATTTAAAAAAAAATATTTGTGTTTAACAAACTAAATTGAATATGTAGGCTGATGGATGTCTTTAGTGGAGCGCAAACATTGTTTCCTTATCGACAAAAGTAAAGAATAAAGAGTAAAAGTAAAGAGAAAGTAAAGAGGCCAAATGAAGGAGGCTCGTTCTTAATCCTCACACTGAAGATGGTTTGTTAACTGTTTTCTTATAGTGAAGCATTCGTTTTTTTCACTAAGAAATTCCACCATGTAAATGGAGTACTCAGTTGGTTTGAGCTCTTTTCATTTATTGGGTTTTACTGTGCGCAAATTGCGTCTTTTACTCAAATGTACTAAATTCACAGTATTTATTAGGATTAGTGTTTGAACTTAAATTGTTTGTTGCAATCTGTTTCCTCAAATCAGTTTGAGTTACCCTA